CGCCCGCTCTCCGCGGTGAGCGCCGACATGCCGGGGGCGCGTTCTTCCTGCGGTCCGCGCCGGAGCCCGCAGCGCCAGCCGTGAAGAGATTTGCGGTCGGGGGTTTGTTTTCTGAGAAGGTCACAGTTTTTCCTCTTTTTCTTTCGGTTTTTTTCTTCTTCTTTTTCTTTTCCCTACGGCGGGGGAGGGGACCGGGGGCCAAGAAAGGACAGCATGCTGGCCGGTGCGAGTAGAGTGGAGCCTCAGTTCCCGGGGTCCTGAGAGCCCAGCGCACGGCACCCGACCATCCGGCCGCGAGCGGGGAGGCCCTCCTCCCGCCTCTCTTAACCATCGCAGCCGATTCGGCCCCGATCCCGACGTCCACACTGCAGGACCCTGGCGGCGCGGACGCGCTGAGGAACCATGAGTGTAAGGTTGCCCCAGAGCATAGACAGGTAGGTTTACGGACGATGTGCTTTTCAACACTTTCTTAAGGAAAGGCTGGGAGGGTGGGTGTTGCATTTGGATAAAAGGTTGCAAAGCCCGGGTCGGGGTGGGAGCGACCGTCTCTGGGGACCCTCCGGACCTGTGTGTGTGTTTATGTTCTCTGTGTGTGTGTGTGTGTGTGTGTCCGCGTCCTGATTCCGTGTTTTTTTAATCTACCAGCAATAGACAGCAGAGCTGGGAGAGCAGAAAGAGGGGCCGTGCTCCCATCAGCCTTTGACTTTTGCCTTGCTACAGGCTGATTTTGAGCCCCTGACACGCCAGTTTAGGGGGCGGGAGGCGACACGAGCCTGGTCACGTGAGTCCCCAGGGTGGATTGGGACTGGCTTTAGGTGTTGAGCTGCTGGGGGAAGGGCCCTGCAGGGGCGTGGGCCTCCGCCTGCTGGTTGCTACGGAATGGTGGGGCTTGGTGATGGGGTGGATTCCATTTCTAGAACCAGGAGGATGTTGCAGGCCTGACTGATGGGACAGAAACACCCTTTGCACCCATTTGCACTGGATTTTTGCCAGTGGCTGATAATGGCCCGGCAAACGCACAGGGCACATTAGAATCTCTTGCTCTGCAAGCTTAGGGTTTAATTGGAGTCCTGCTTACGGGCGCACGTTCTAGGCTTGATCTTCTAAGCCGTTTTTAAAAAGCCTGGTTCTGCAGGATGGGCCTTTCCTCTGCCTAGGAGTTGTGGGCTCTCAGGCCTAACCTGCAGAGGCGCTGGGCCTTGGAGTCTGAGCCCAGGACCCCCCCCTCCCCCACCGGCCTCTGCTTCACTGGTTACCTCCGCAGTTTACAACTTTGTGAGGCGTTTGCCTGCCCCCCCCCCCCAACGCTTCCTCCTTAAGAATCTTGACAGAGGCCTGCAGTGTGGGTGCTGCACACATCCTAACTGGATGGAGATGGGTGGTTGCAGGACTGAGCACTGGCCTGGAGGCCGTGTGAGCGGAGCGGCAGGGAAGGGCAGGGAGCGGTGGTGTTCAGGCCAGTTAACCTTTGATTATCCATGCTAATAGTAATTTCTTTTTGGCTGTGGAACGCGGCCTGAGTATAATCTGTCCCTCCCAGACACTCCTCTGTGTGTCGTCCCCGAGTCCTGTTTAGATCAGTTCAGCATCAGATCAGCTCAGCAGTCCCCCAGCCCGGGACCTGACTTGGCAGCGGTGGGGGGAGAAGGCGGCCAGCCGCAAAGGACATAAGGCGTGTGCCCCTTCCCCTTGTTGTTGGCCTCTTGTAAAGGGAGGCCCGAGGTGCCTCGGGGCAGGGAGGTGACATGGTTGCCGCCTTCTCTGTTCCTCCTGCTGGAGTTTGGAAATTCGTGCACCTGCCTTTTGTGAGATTTGAATGGTGAGTGATTTCTTAGAAATCGGGGATGTGAGCAGGTGGAAACCCAGGCTCAGGGGGGGCAAAGAAAGAGGCCACGACGGTTCCCGGGCTAACGCGAGATGCCCCTCTGGGAGCCTGTGTCTCCTCGTAGTCTTGTCGGGATTCATACAGCGCAGGACATCTTCCTAAGAGCTTTCGTAGGACATATCTCATCTGGGCCCACGGCGTTTCTGAGGGGCAGACAAGTTGGATGTGATTCCGTTTTACAGAGGGGGTCACTGAGGCTCGGGAAGGATACGTGGCTTGCCCAGTGCCATCTTGCTGGACCAGTGGCAGAGTCTGAGCTCCGATGCAGGTTGTCAGGCCCAGGCTCTTCTGCTTGCCACACGCTAACAGGGTTTATGACTTGGTCCCGTGGAATGTGGTGTTAGTCTCTCCTTTTGACAGTAGGTGAAGATGCCTTTCAGTGTTCCCTTTGCACTTTTTTTAAGGGTCATTTATTTGTTTTTAATTTATTTTTTTTTCAACGTTTTTATTTATTTATGGGACAGACAGAGACAGAGCATGAACGGGGGAGGGGCAGAGAGAGAGGGAGACACAGAATCGGAAACAGGCTCCAGGCTCCGAGCCATCAGCCCAGAGCCTGACGCGGGGCTCGAACTCACGGACCGTGAGATCGTGACCTGGCTGAAGTCGGACGCTTAACCGACTGCGCCACCCAGGCGCCCCTGTTTTTAATTTATTTTTGAGAGTGGGGGACGGGCAGACAGTCGAGGGCGAGAGAGAGAGAAAGAATCCCAAGCAGAGCCCAACATGGGGCTCGATCCCACGAACCATGAGATCAGGACCTGAGCCGAAATTAAGAGTCGGATGCTTAACCGACTGAGCCACCCAGGCGCCCCTCCCTTTGCACTTTTTAACAGTCTTGGGGCCAACACTAGCTTCTGTAGTAAAGCACTGTTTTCTCCTGGGGGATAAGGTACCTTTGCAGGCTGAGAGCATTCCTCGCCTCTGCCCCCACCTCCGCTCTCTTCCCCGTTAGGTATCTCCCGTTGTATCCGATCTCACCCCCGAGGCTGCGGGCTCATTCTGCTGGGCCTTTGACATCTCAGGTTCAAGACTCTGGATTTTAAATAATTCATGATTTTACTCCGCACTGGAGGGATTGAGCAGAAGGAATGCTCCAGATTGTGGCGTCAGGGTTTCTCTTATAGTTTGTCCACGTGCCGTGTAGGGTCTAGCATGAGACGCCAGACGGGCGTTTCAGAAAATTGAAGGACGCGGCTCCTGCCCACAAAGAGTGTGCAGTCTATTTGGGGAGCGAGGGAAGGGTCCCGAAGACCAGGGAACGGGAACGGCAACACTAGGCTGTAAGCCGCGCACAGGCCGGACTGTGTCTGCTTTGCTCAGCGGTAAGCTGTGCGCACTGAGCCTTCGATAACTGTGTGACAGGTGATTGTGGGAAGGAGTGAGCGTGGCAGCAAGCAGAAAGTCTTCCATTTCAGATTGTCTCAGCGCTCCGGTGTTGGTTTCCCAGGTAGTCAAAGCGGGGTCAGAGAAGGCCTCCTAGGTGGCGTGTATTTCCCAGGGGATAAACCACGTGGCACAGGACCACGTTTGTGGGGAAGAACCCCCTCTAGGGGACGGACACCCGCATCCGCTGGAACGAGGGGTATTCGTGACTGATCTTTGTCTCTCCGTGTTAATCGGTTGTGACTGACACATGGGCCCCAGCGGCTGCTTGAGCCCCTGTCGGTTTTGCCCGTCGACCCCTCGTCTTCTCCAGAGATCCTGAAGGTGTGTTTGGTGCTGCAGGCGGAGGTGAGGACGCTGAATTCGTCTTATGGGAACGGTAATGAGTTCTGCTGAAGGATCTAGATCCTTCTGCCTCGTCTCCAGTGACACACGTTTCCACGCCGGCCGGGTGGGTTAGGCGGTTGCGTCCGCATGGCAGCTTTCCTCCGTGCAGAGGAAGATCGCCCCTGTGAGGCCAGGACAGACGGCGAAGTAGGAGAGCTAAGCCAAGAGGACCTGGTTTGAGCCCTGGCATGCCCCTTGACTCCGTGACCTTGGGCAGGTCACAGACCTTCTCCGATTTCCTCGTAGGCGTAACGAGCGTTCGCTTATGTGCAAGGCCTTCTGGTTCACAAACATTTTCACGCTGTGTGGCATTTGAGGATTATAACATTTATTGCGTCTCTCTCGTGGGGCTGTTGAAAAGAGCAAATAAGATAATATATTTCAGATTGCTTTCTAAGCTGTAAAGCTGTAAAGGAGTTCTAGGCGGTGAACTCCCGAATTTGATTTAGTGTCATGCGGTACTTTCTGAACTAGCCCAAAACAGATTTTGAGTAACTGAAGGATCCTTGCGTCGTTTCGAAGCATTTGACCAGAGTGAACAGGCTTTTTGTGCAGAAGTACGTGGTCGGAAGGGAGAAGTACTTCTCCTGTGGTCTGTGCTGGGTGATAGACCTGAAGAATATGAGAAGAGGAAGCTTCTCAGGAGTTTTGATGAGTGGGAGGGACCGTAGCTACCTTGGCTCCCTTAGATTTGGGGTGGAAAGAATTTGTTTCGTGATCTCCGGCCATCCCCAATTCAGAGTAAATCCAGACCCAGCAACCGCCCTTATCAGAGATCTGAGGCTGAATGTAACCTTTCCCTGTCGGTAGCCTTTTTTCTAGAAGAGACTCAATCTTGAGGGTGGGGGGGTGCACAGGAAGGAAGGACGGTAGAGAGCCTTGCGC